TGTGGTCTTTCTTCGACAGATCGTCGAAGAAAAAATAAATAAAAGTCGTATTATAAGTCGACTTACAACTCGTCCATCAGATAAAAGTCGTATTATAAGTCGACTTACAACTCGTCCATCAGATAAAAGTCGTATTATAAGTCGACTTACAACTCATCCATCAGATAAAAGTCGTATTATAAGTCGACTTACAATTCGTCCATCATACAAGTCGTATTACAAGTCGACTTATAACTCGTATTTTCTTAACGAAAAAAAATAACTGTGTGTCCTATTACGGGCTCCGTAGAAAAGTGTGACACTAGCCTTTATTTCATAGTGCTATGAAAGAAACCTATGAAAAACATGTTGTTTCATAGGTTTAACCTATGTAAATCATATGAAATAATATGTGTTCCATGGATTTTGCCTATGACATTCCTATGAATTATATCATAATCTTCATAGGCTTTTCATAGTAGTTTCACTATTTATTAATTCCAGGATTCCATAGGGATTACTTATGACACTATTTCATAGCCTTTATTTCATAGTGCTATGAAAAAAAACCTATGGAAAACCTTTGAAAAACATTTTGTTTCATAGGTTTAACCTATGTAAATCATATGAAACGGCTATGTAAAATCCACAGGTTTTTCATAGGTTTTGCATTTATAGTGATATTAAAGCTTATAGCTTTCACTGGAGCTGTGTCTTTGGACACTAAACTATCTAAAATATTTCAGCTAATCATTACGCTTGTAATTGTGTAAGATTTATTTTTGTTTTAACGAGAACTAAATGTCATCGCATGTAATTCACAGTAGATATCTAAATTGGATTAACCTTAAGTAGTGCTTCATGCTGAGAAAATCTTTATCGAACAAAGCTCGTCATGGAAATAAACCTCGCCAAGGATTGCATAAAGTGCAAAGTGCAAGTACGTAAGACCTCACTTGTGTAAGTTAATGGTACCGTTTCGGCAAAAAAAAATCAACAAAAAGGTAAGATAAATGTCCACCAAATAACGATAGTTGGAATGCTTCTTGATTCGGAAAACAATGTCATTTCAATGATGAAGTTAAGTCGGTCGAGAATAGGTGTCAATACCTTACTACTCTAGTACTTGTCAGAAGTACACTGAATGTCGTTTGCTGAACCCTTAAAAACACCATAAATAAAAAAAAGACAAATACTTACCTTATTACTTTACAAAATCATTCATAAAACYTGAAGTAACAACTTATCCACGATGCATGTAGAAGTATTTCAAGTCTACTAATAGTCCACATCCCTTCATCAAGCAAGCCGTATACCCAGCATCCTTTGCTTCATAGAATGGCACTCTGGCACAGGAAGACCATACGAAAGCGCACTGTTCCACGTTTTCACTTTAGAACTGTTCAATAAATTAAGATGAAGAATATAGCCGTTTTTATTTCGAAAGASTCGGACTATTATTTGGTATGAAACTTTTAATCTATTACTTAACTTATTTTCTTTGACGCCGAATCTATTAATATTTTGAGCTTTAAGTGCGGCGTCAATTTGAGGAAATAATGATACCAGCAATGGGAATATTTTCTCTTAGAACATTTTTTATTTCGAATTGACTGTACTCGTTTGATCTCAGCAGCTGTTAGATTCTGACTCCACAACGAGGACATTGATATTGAAATTATAGAAGTTTAACTCTGGTTAAAATCATAAATTGAGTAGACAAAATGAACACGACATTTATATATTGAGATTCGTTACTGTTTGTTAGTAAAAAGATACAATATAAAATACGGTATGTAGTACTGAATAAAGTGTCTTTTTAATAAACGCTGCCCCCAAATAGACGCCGCCCTCGAATAAACGCCGCAGCTGGATCGTGAAAAATGAAATAAACGCCGCGGCGTCTATTTGAGTAAATACGGTATTTGAGTCTTGAAAAAAGTTTATATATATAATATTATGATTAGAAGGAGA